AAACCGATAAACGCCACTTTAAAAAAAATTCAAAAAAGCCGGTTTTGTCCACTTTCAAGGCATCGCGAGTTCACGTTTTACTGCAGAAGCCGACAAGCGCCCTTGTTGTTTTTGAACAGAAGCCGATAAGTCCATTTTAGCGAATCAGCGCGCTGTATTCAGGTCAGGTGACAAGGCTACTTTCACTTTGAAAAGACGTGCTAGCTGAGAGGAGTTTCGTCAAAGCTGACTAAAAGTGATCGAGGATGGATAATTTCGACAAACTTGATGAACCTGTGATATCTTCTTCAGGGCGAAAGAGAAAAATAAAAGCTAAAACGTTTTCACGGAAGCTTGTAAAAGCAGCGCGTTACAATAGTGAGGGAAAAGCTCCGTGTATTGCGTGTAATCACATCCATACAGTTTATGATCACAACAACAACAACGTTTGTCAGGCATCAACATTGTCATCTGAGGAGATTACAAAGATTAAACGAGTGTTTTTTTAAACTCTAAAACATGAAATGTGGAGTTATCTCCTTTTGCCAAAAAACGACTGTTGGCGTTATCGGCTTTTGCTATAAAACAAACTTTTAATATGTAAAAAAACATTTTTACTTAAACAAATACTTAAACTGTATTTGTTTAAGTTAGTATTACTTAATCAAAACAACCCTACTGCAGTTTGATTGATATTACTTAGAATGCGCAATAAAAAAAACGTGATTTCTGGTTATCAGTTTTTGCAAATGAACTTTTCATATATATTTAATTATATTTAATATACACACCAGGACTGGAAATGGGGGGGGGGCGTTTTATTTCCAAATGGTTAGGTTTATTTGGAAATTAAAGTGATTTCTATATTTTATCCATTTAAAAGACTACGAAAGCGATCCCAGTTCTGCGCATAAACCTAGCGCGATATATTTGTGTCTATGGTTAGCTGCGCAATGCCGTCTTTTGTGATTGGCCCTAATACCTGCAGACTGCAACCAATAGAAATGCTTCTCTATCAGTGCGCGTGCTGCTCCTCACAGCACAGATCGTGAAAGCAGACTGCAGTTTGTCATTCATTGTAACAAACAAAGTGTAGAGACAATGTAAATAATAGATTCAGTGTGCAGTGTAGGGAGCTTCATAATAATTAAAATGGAAAATTTGTGAGATTCCGATGAACTAAGACAAGTGACAGCTTTTAAATGATTATAAAGGGAGTTTGCAAATGTGAAATTGAACTTACAACAGTTTTATACATTTATAATTTTATACATAAGTTAATATTAAGTGACTTACATTTTAGGAACACTGTTGTCTGATTGTGCTCTATTTTGTCAACGAAAATAGTTCCAAACAAAGTCACAGCCGATCCACTGCGCATGTCCAAGCAAACACAGCGGTGTTTCGTTTATGAATGAATCTGCGTTTTTGAACAAATCTAGTGAGTCAATGATTCAATGACCCATTCATAAAGAGAGTCACTTGCTTCGTTCCTAAATGAATCAGCCGTTTGAACGAATCGATTGAATGAATGATTCAGTGACAAAGACAGTGACTTGCTGCCACCTACTGGCGGTTTCAGTTTTATTTTTAAGTATAAATTGAGTCATTTAAATTGTTTAATATTTCTTAATTTCATAACATTGTTATTATGAAATGCATTAATGCCACCTCCTAGTCTTGTCAAAAAGTCTGTAAATATTCCTTAATGCCACATTTGTGCTTATCTTTGCTGTGCAAAGATGAATTGTTGATGCTGATTTCATTTGACTAGTAACTTATTCTTCCTGATTTTATCTTATTATTTTAATTGAATTTATTGTTTAATTAAAATTTTCGATAAAAGTTTATAAATCAAATTTTTTTGGCACAAAAGATGACATACAATTAATAAAGTTAGAGGCATTAGAAAGGTTAAAAAAAACCTTTAAGGAGTCAAATATTGCCTTATATTAGGAAGGTTAATTTCTGTCATTGATCAGAAGGTGCTCCTAATTTTTATTTATTTATTTATTTTTTTAAGTAGGAGCACAAGTGCTCCTGAAAAGAAATGCAAGCGTAGAGCCCTTAAGAATGTAATGTTACCTTTTAAAAACTAACTGCAAACGTTTATGCAAAGTATAAACTATTAAATATAATCTACAAATCACGCAATAGCCTACTGTACCACTACATAAGAAGTGTTTAACAGCTAAACAGGCCAATTAGACAATTACTAATCATTCTGATTTTTTATTAAATCATTCTTTCATTTCACTAATCAATCTTTTTTTTTATTTTATAAATAAATGTAAACAAAATAATTAAATATAAATAAATAAATTAATATCTTTACTTTCAATAATAATTCTCAACTATCATTGTTACAATTATTTTGTTTAAATCAGCTAAAATAAAGGTAGCACAAAAGTATCATACATTTTAATTGAAATCACTTTTTGCAATAAAGTGATGAAAATAAGATTTTTTTTTAATACATTAAGAATTTTTTTATTCTAAAGAAAAAGCAGTATGTAATGAAGAATAAATTGTGGAAGAAATTAATATTGTTTAAAAGTTATGAAAATATTGCAACAAAAAAGGGCTCAAAAATAGGCTTCATTTTTAATTTGCAAAAAAACAACAACTAAATCTTATTTCTTTCTTTTGATTTTAATATAGCCTGGAAATGTTCTTGACATGTTTTATGAAATTCACACATTTCCTCTTGCTTTATTTCTTTCTCATCTACACAAAGCTTTGACAATGTCCATAATAACACTTTATTATCCAAAATACAGTCCTCTAAATTGCAGCTGTGCTTTTAGAGATGTGGACGCACTGAATAAAGAAGCATGTGATTATCCAATTATGATAATACTCATATGTAGTGCGTATTTTTCAAGTACACAAGCTGGTCTTATCAGAGAAGAGCAGTGTGACCTAGTTTTAAAGCTCACTGCTGATGGTGTGTGTGTGTGTGTGTGTGTATAGGAAGGTATTGTGTATCTGAGATGCTGTTACTCTGAGAGGTGTGTGTGTGTGTGTGTGTGTTATATCTCTAGAGACAGCTTTGGGCTCATCTGTCCTGCAATAAGACACTACACAGACCTCCCAAAAGAGTCCGGACCCATCTGGAGCATCTTAGAAGTACACATGACACACAAATTCATTGAGATGTTCAGCTGGGGGTCCCACTATCTGCAGGACTCTAACCGCAGTCTGTTTTCAAGAGAATAACTGTCAATCAACACGCCACCGGTTGCCGTGGCAACAGAAATTTGACCCCACCCCCCTGAGTGATGAGGAGCTTGTGGGTAAAACGAGAAGAGCAGAGATAAAGAGAGAGAGAGAGAGAGAGCGAGAGACACTCACGATCTGTGGATGCTGCAGTTGTAGAAGGTGAAATCCACACTAGCAAATTTCTGCCCCGTTTCCCTCGATTTCAGATACAGCTTCACCACATGAGTGTCTCCTTCAGAGGGACAAATAAAAGAGAAAAGAGGTTAGTCAGATCTCTGCCTCTTGATGAAGAACAGCAGAATCAGCTGCTATATAAACACTCGTGTATAAGGAGTCTTTCCACTTAACTGTGGTAAAATCACTGAACTCTCCAGTGGCTTGTTGCTTTTTGAACATCACAAACAATGTAGTGCATTAGTGCGCTTGTGCATTAATATAGTATTGTTTAGACACAGGCTTGTGTTTTCTGCATAACAAGGTTTTGAGTTTAATCAAGTCTACAGCTGCATCCCAATTCACATCGTTCGATTCATTACATTAAAATATATTGTTTTTAGATTCATACATTTAAGAAGTGCCATTGTGCAAATAGCCCAACATTCATCACCAACTAAAATTTTTAATCAGTTACTTTAGTGTTATTGAGATACTATTATTGCTTGTTTTTATATTTTGAATTAGTTTTTATTTTTATATCCTCCATTTTCATTTTAGTTAACGTTTTAGTAATTTTTTTTGTGTTTTTGTATTTAATTATTATTATTTTTTATTGTTATGTCTATATAGTTTTTATAATTTTTTTATTTCAGTTTTAGTTTTAGTTCTTTTTCTCACTAAATGAGAAATGATGCTCTGGAAACTAGCCAAAATAAAAGTTTTTTTGTAAATAATTTTATGAATTTAATTTAATTTTATAGCAGTTAATATTTATTTAATTTCAAGTAATTAAAACATTGTTTTATGGTTTTTAATTTTAATTTACTATAATAACCCTGCTGTTCAATACCCAGGCACCTTCAGCTTACTATTTTTGTACTAACATACTGATTCAGGACTAGAAATTTTAAATAACGGAAATGTTGCCATTCTGATTTCACTTAATTTTTTCTTTTCTTATTTTTTTCTTTTAAAAAGTTCCCTTTTGTGCTGATTCTCAAGCTCAGACAATTAAAAAAGCATCAAACAATCAAATAGCAAACAGCTTTGATGCAGCATTTCAATTATGTAGACATATTCAGCAACAGAATGCATATTTTCCAGAACCATTAATGCAATCAAACATTACAAAAACCACTCAGTTTCAGTATTTTTCCTTAATGCAACCGGATCTTGAATAAGAGCTGCTTCTAAATCTCCAATCCTATCTGGGACACAATAATCCCTCAAACTATACAGGACAGATATGATGACGATCTGAAAACAAAACCACTGACTGAATCTGTGGAACAGACTGATGGTGTTATATAATAATCATCATATACTGATGTTACTCATGATCTTCAAGACTCTTGGTTGTAATGGCTTCTGCTGCAATGCTTCTAGTGAGTGCTAGTGTGTATGATCTAGCAGTGTGTGTTTACGGACTCTGCTGGCGTGTGATGGGGACGAGCTCTTTGGCTGACGGCGAGAGGCAGTAGATCTGCGATCCGTGTATTGTTCCTTCAGTCTCGGTGTAATCCTCGAAGGAACAGTCCACCCCTGCGGAAAGATCCGGGACGTTGCGGGCCTGCAGGACCAGCTGGCAGACCGATGGAGAAAACAGACAAAGTGAAAACGCTTGGCCCACGTCCCCATAATTCATCTGCTTGTTTTTAAAATACACTCTACACGACATCTGCTGCTCCATATTGCTGCGTGTCTGCTAGCGCTCCATATAGTGTACCACTCCTCAACATCTATGGAGAGGTGACAGATACGCAGTGCTGTGCATGTTATCTCTGCTCTAATTCACACACACACACACACACACACACACTGCAACCAATCAGTGAGGTCACAATACCTGTGGATTGAGCAGAAAACTACTAGGCCGTGACATCTGTGGCACAGAGGTCCCTGCAATTGCCATGGCAACAGTCTGGCTAATCATACTGTTGCCCTCAGCTTCCTGCTCCTCGGTACCTGGACCACCAGGACGACCCCACTGATTATGGGATTCTGTGATGGTAAAAGAAAGGTTAAAACGGCTAAAGAAAGTGTTGTTGGTGAATGTTGTTATTACATGACATATTTACAATACAGCATGAGCCGGATACAAAAATCTATTAACATACCGGTGAAATCATGGAGCTGGGGAAGGGTTTCCATCACAATGCCTATGAGTGGTAGGTAGAGCAGGGCAACTCATAGGCATTGTGATGGAAACCCTTCCCCAGCTCCATGATTTCACCGGTATGTTAATAGATTTTTGTATCCGGCTCATGCTGTATTGTAAATATGTCATGTAATAACAACATTCACCAACAACACTTTCTTTAGACGTTTTAACCTTTCTTTTACCATCACAGAATCCCATAATCAGTGGGGTCGTCCTGGTGGTCCAGGTACCGAGGAGCAGGAAGCTGAGGGCAACAGTATGATTAGCCAGACTGTTGCCATGGCAATTGCAGGGACCTCTGTGCCACAGATGTCACGGCCTAGTAGTTTTCTGCTCAATCCACAGGTATTGTGACCTCACTGTTTGGATGCATTGTGTATTTATTTATTTATTTATTTTTACTTTTACTTTCTTCTATCAACTAATATAAGTTATTTTATTATTATTATTATTTTACATGTATATACATTGCTATATTACATTACATACATATACATTTATGGTAGTTTTTTTCCCACCCAAAACATAAACACTTTTTAATCTCTGAGGGTATTTTTAAGTAAATATTTTAGAATATTTTATATCTGACAAGAAAGTTTTTAAATCCATGCAGTAGAGGGACAGTAATGGCACTCTTCGCATTTAAAGTAAAGCCAGTTTTTTTGTTGTTTTTTTTTGTGCACATCCTTTTTATTTTTGATGATACCTATTGGTCTTTATAATTCTTTTGCACTTTAATCCGTGTAAAACTTTTAACTTTATAAATTTTTTGTGTATTGCTTTATTGTATTTAAATGTTCAGTTATTTTTGTTATAAGAAAAAAGTTATTAAACCTGTTATACTGTATTATGACAACACTTTTTTGCAACTAAATTTCAATATCGTGATAATACCGTATACCGTGATTAACATCAATTAATCGCAACATGAAAATTTGATTGCGCAGTGGATGAGGATTCGATTAGAACCACAAACATGCATAAAAAGTTTTTAAAAACTACAAACATGGTGGATATTATGGACAGGTAGAGAAAGGGGTTTGAGTGATAAATAATCAATGTCTAACCTGTTGAAAAAATATTTATTTAATGTTATCTGCGTTATATTTCATCTGCAGCAACACTGTGAACTTTTATAATGATACGTTTGGTCATTAACTTTTACACGCATCGTTATGCAAACACAAGAGCAGAGTTCTCGGCACGATAGACCCACGACTGGCAGATCAGCGTGCCTCTTATTTCTCTCCAATACGGTAGGAAATTAAATCAATTGAAATATGGATAATGATAACTTTGACAAGATTGACGGTGCAGTTTAAACGGTGACAGGATGCATGTAACGAAGCAACAGAGCATCTGTTAAAGTCGTAATAATAACGAAGTAGTATGTCCCAAAGCTTGCCTACTATTCTGCTAAATACTCAAAAGTATGTACTTTTTCTTTACAAAAAAGTACATACTTTTAGAGCATAGTATAAGTAGGCAAATTGGGATGCAGCAATTAGGTTATTTGCAATGTTTTAAGGAAGTGGGCGGTCCCTATTTGTCATCACCATGGTAACAGTGACTTCTCTGATTGGTTCAGTTCTTTACTGGGAATTTGAAACTAAATATGTTTTAATGATGCTGAAATCACAAACTTCTACAGACGCATATAATCATCACTGTGACCTCAGTGTTCAGCCTTACAAGTTTATGATATTGTTAAAAATAATTATCTCACTATGGAGAAAATAAAAGGGGTTTTTACATCTGGAAGCTGACTTTTGCGCTCCTCTGGCATTTACTGTAGATGTAACATGGGAAAACCATTTAAACTGCTTGCAAAACTGCTGCTTTGTGGGTAAAAGTGTGGTAAACTTGTGGCACAGGACTATTTGCTACTAATGTTTGCCAGGAGGTGTTGAGTGTTTGCTGGAATGCGAGCCGAGCGCTCAGACATGAACACACAGACTTCACCGATCCCTGAAGGGCAAACGCAGACATCTAAAGATAAAGCTGACATCTCAATCTTCAGGGACTACAGCTGCACGTGACGGTTATTGCAGAAGAGAGGGGGAAAACCATTTAAACTGCTTGCAAAACTGCTGCTTTGTGGGTAAAAGTGTGGTAAACTTGTGGCACAGGACTATTTGCTGCTAATGTTTGCCAGGAGGTGTTGAGTGTTTGCTGGAATGCGAGCCGAGCGCTCAGACATGAACACACAGACTTCAGCGATCCCTGAAGGGCAAACGCAGACATCTAAAGATAAAGCTGACATCTCAATCTTCAGGGACTACAGCTGAACGTGACGGTTATTGCAGAAGAGAGGACGATGGGAGTCTTTTTTGGCTTTTAATTATTTTTTAAGCACAGTTCAGTTCTGAGATCCTGCTAATGTTTCTCCCGTGAGTGAGATCAGAGAAGCCTCAATGACCCGTTTATGTGAATCATAATGAATATTTCTACAACGTCTTTATTCTGTAGCCTGAGGAAGCGTTTGATGAACTGATGTGACAAAACACGGTAGATGGTGGTAAACCACATGCAAACACACAGATGCTCAGAAAACAAGCCCAGGGTGACAAATCAAGAGTTTTAACCCTCTAAAGCCGGACACGTGAAATAATAGTTCAATTTTTTTATTTGCATTTTTTTTTTTTTTTTTGGAAGAGTTTATTAAACTTTAAATGATTGTAGTTATTTATTTGCTCATTTAATTATTATTACTACTTTTATTATTTTTTTAGCATCACATCTGACCCATCTGATTCATAGATAATCAAGTAAAACTAAGCTGCTTCAGTGTTCATCTGGAAATATTACTAACAATATCAAACATATTTACTTGATAAAAATCTGTAAAGATTTGGCAGCAAAAAGACATGAAGCACCAGCTGAAGGAGGACTGTAGTACATTTAACTTGCTTAAGTTTAAACTATCACTCCGACGACAGAAGGCATGCAGTGGATTGTGTGCAACAGGTTTAACAGTAAAGTTTTGATCATGTTGGTCATTTAGAGGCCTTAGAAATGTGTATATCAAATATGATACAGCAGGCTTATATTCAACTTATTCACATCTGTCAAATTATATCCAAAGTTAAGACTGGTTAAAGGAAATGTGTGTTATGAAGATATCTGTACGTGTGTGTGTGTGTGTGTTTGCTTACATGTTGTGAAGGACACACCAGCCGCAGTTCAATCTGAGAAACACTGCAGTCATACAGCACATCTGCGGCCAAATCAAGAGACGCTGCAAGCCAGAGACAAGCGCTGGAGTGTGAGAAACATGCTTGCTGCTGTCTGTGTGTGTGTACATGTGTGTGCGTGTGCATATGGAAAGCACAGAATCAGCTTATCACACGCTGCGCCATCTGACAGTTACCACGGAGATCAGCGTTTGATTGACAGGAACCCTGAAGTCCTCCTGCTGAAAAAAGAACAGAAAAAACAGTAAAGAACGAGTGAAACAAAGAAAGATAAAACTATGAAAATACAACAATTAAAAAAAAACTGTTGAATGAAAACATGAAGTAAAATATTGAAGTAAAACTTGAAGTAAAAAATAGTGAAATAGTGAAAGAGTGTGAAATAAAAGAAACTAAACTATGAAAGTACAAAAATGTATGAACAAAAACAAAGAATGAAATGAAACAACAAAAAGGAAAGAAAGAATGGAAGTACAAAGTGCAAAAAGCATAAAGAAGAATGTGAACAAAAAGTTTCTAGAAAATTATATAGAAACGAATACAAAAAAAAAATCAATGAAAGAAAGAACTAAAATGTAAAAAAAATAAAAAGAACAACTTTCAGATGGCAAAAAATTAGTGAAAAAAAGAGTCCAATAATGAATAAAAAAATTTATTAAATTAAAGTACAAAAACATGAAAAAGTCAGAACAAAGTATGAAAAAGAAAGAGGATGAATGAAAGTATAAAATAAAAACCAAAAGCATAAAAAATTAAATGAAAAAAAATTGAACAAATGAAAGTATGTATGAATTTAAGTGTGAGAGAAAACCAACTGGCAAAGACCAAGTTCATCAGTTCATGTGTGTCGGATGATAATAACTATATCAAGTTACATCTGAAGGCAAATATAAACTCAGAATGCATGATGGGAAAGACCAGCCTATAAATCCACCCTAACAACAACACACACACACACACAGTAAGTCAGTCAGGTGTGAGTGGTCATTCACTGAGGACTATCAGTTTACAGAGTGAGGAACAGTGATGGAGGGATGAAGACGAGCAGAGAGGAAGAACAGATGGTGAGGATGACGGGGTCAGGTGTGTGTGTGTGTGTGTGTGTGTGTGTGTGTGTTTAGGGCACAGGAGCTGCTCTGTGAAACAAGTTGACCATATGCAGCCTGTTAGTGTGTGTGAAAATATACAGCGTAAAAGAACAAAGAAAATGAACATGCAATAAATGCCAACACCTCTTGATGCAAGTTCAATATTAATTTGTCATTTTAATACACGTTGAAACCCATCATGTAACACACACACGCTCGTGAGCAGCCGCCAGCGCCGTTCATCTGATATTCAGCGTGTTAAACTGCAGCCTGCAGCCAAAACAGACACAAATGAATTCAAGATAAATGACACACACACACACACACACAAACAACACCTGATAATAGAGCGAGTCAAAACACACACATTCTGAGAGATGAGGGAAAACTCAGAGCCTCAGGCATCAAACGTCAATCAAATATGTGACACGATGATGATGTGTGTAACATGAACAACACACACACACACACACATCTCTACATCTCAGACAAAACAAACTCCGTTATCAGGTGATGTGCGAAATTATTGTGTTGGAGTAAAAACACAAACTTTCACAGTCAAAGGTTTTCATCATAAAACATACAAAACATAATATATGTTTTTGGAAATAAATATGAATAAATACATGCACACACACACTACCGTTCAAAAGCTTGAGCTTTTTTTAAACACTTATTCATCAAGGATACATTTAAATGATCAAAAGTGACAGTAAAGACATTTATAATGTTACAAAAAAATTATATTTCAAATAAATGCTGTTCTTTTGAACTTTCTATTCATCTGTGAATCTTGAAAAATAAAATGTATCACAGTTTCCACAAAAAATATTGTGCAGCACAACTGTTTTCAGCATTGATAATAATCAGAAATGTTTCATGAGCAGCAAATCAGCATATTAGAATGATTTCTGAAGATCATGTGACACTGAAGACTGGAGTAATGATGCTGGAAATTAATTTACATTTTGAATTAATTACATTTTAACATATATTCACATAGAAAACAGCTGTTTTAAATTGTAATAATATTTCACAGTATTACTGCCTTTACTGTAATTTTGATCAAGTAAATGCAGCCGTGGAGGGCAGAAGAGTCTTCTTTAAAATAAATAATAAGTAAATACATACATACCGTACATCTTATTAATCGCAAATTTTGAATGTAGTGTATATTTTGCTATAAACATGAACAAAAATATTTTGTTTTTATAGAAAATGACTATAAAATTGATAGCTTTATACTGTAATGTGGCTTTTTATTCAACTACGATTTGCAATTCTTTATGGGAGGAAGAAGTTTGTTCCGTCACAAAGGAATTAAAAATCTAAATGATAAATTATAATGATTTTTCTTTTTTTTTTTGATTGGTTTAATTGGTCCATTTAAACTAACATTGATCCAGTGTGAAAGCTAAAGCATGTGTTCATACTAGATGTGTGCTGTGTGAACGGCCCTAATGCAGAAATGAGAGAAAACTTTCTCTCTCTCTTCCATTACTGTCAATGTGTTTTAGTAAAAACATCTCAACCAATCAAGAGGCTTTTAATACAGCCTCTACACACACACGATCAATACTGAACCACCCACACACACACACACTCACAGACACACACACACACACACTCACAGACACACACACACACAGACACACACACACACACACACACCAATACATTGTATGGGTCAAAATTATCAATTTTTGCCAAAAATCATTAGGATATTAAAGGGTTAGTTCACCCAAAAATGAAAATTAGAAATTTTACTCACCCTCGAGGCATCCTAGGTGCATATGACTTTCTTCTTTCAAACGAATCCAATCTTTTAATTTTTATATTAAAAATTGTCCTGGCTCTTCAAAGCGTTATCATTGTAGTGGACGGGTGTTTCTGTTCAACAGTCCAAAACACGTCAAATAAAGCGTGTGGGCGGATGACGCAGGACGTATGCGTCGCGCGCCTCTGAGGTATGCTAGCCTCACGAGTTTGTTTACAGGAGCAGAGGAAGCAAAGTTTCCTTACTTTAGCAAAGGAAAAATTACGTTTGAAATATGGATATTTTTCTTACAAAACCGCATGGATTCGCAACAGGAGGCCTTTATTCCCGCCCCGGAGCTGTGTGAGGCACGTTTTATTATGGATGCACGCGCTTTATTTGACGTGTTTTGGACTGTTCAACAGAAACACCCGTCCACTGCAATGATAACGCTTGGAAGAGCCAGGACAATTTTTAATATAACTCTGATTGGATTTGTGTGAAAGAAGAAAGTCATATGCACCTAGGATGCCTCGAGGGTGAGTAAAACACAGGCTAATTTTCATTTTTGGGTGAACTAACCCTTTAAGTAAAGATCATGTTCCATAAAAATAGTTTGTAAATTTCCTACCGTAAATATATAAAAACTTAATTTATGGAGAGCTTATTTATTCAGATGATGTATAAATCTCAATTTAAAAAAATTGACCCTTATGACAGGTTTTGTGCTCCAGGGTCACATATGTAAATGTGGGCGGTCACATGTTAATGGTGATGTCATCACCATGGCGACAGGTTGTTTTTGTGTGTAGTTTAAGCTGCTGTGACTGAGGAGGGAGTTTAGAGTTTGATATCCGCTCGAGTATCATCCAGATGTGTCTATCATCTGGTTTCATCTGGAGAGCATCCTTTCGCCCGGGGCCGAGGCGAGAGGAGACAGGCTATCAAACACTTTTTAATTAAGTGCTGGAGAACAAGGGGCCAATGCTAAATTACTCTGTCAGGGCTTTAAATGGAGCTTGTGCTTTTGCCGAGCAGCGCCTCAGACTCTCAGCCAGCCGTTTTCATTAACCTGCGAAGAAAAGTGAAGGAACGGGAAAAATAGAAACTGACACAACACAAAGAGACAGGGAACAGAGAACGACTTCTTGTATTTTGCAGGCATATTCTTATGGGAGACAGCATTATATTTGTCACTGTTGTCTCAAATGCACACATAAAATGTCAAAATCATTAAAAAAGTCCTTTAAAGTGGCAGTGTGATATTTCTGCTTTACTAGCATCACCTAACAGAAGTGCAGAAATTAGTTTCTCATCTCAAACACACCCTCCGTCTCTCATTGGTCAGTTAAACTGATAGCCCCGCCCCAAACTCACATGATTAACCAATGAGAATTTAGAGTCAGCTTTATAATCATTTCACAGAACGTGAGACAAACATGGAAAAGTAAGAGCACAGCAACACATGATTATATATTACACCAAAGCATATTAACATCAAACATCACACTTCATATAATATCATAATATCATGAGTTTGTGATAATTATTATTGATTGTGTGTCTAGCAGTGATGTTTTATCTGGATTCAGGAGTGAATGTTCAACAGCAGATCGATGGAGTCTCATGTGACATATAGAGCAGAGATGTGTGTGTGTGTGTGTGTGTGTGTTAATATACTAACACATCAATAATCAGATCAGATGACACTGTAATGTACATCATCTCATTGATCTCTCACTGTATGTCCTACATGTGTGTGAGAGACTAAAATAACTTTAAACTCTATAACACACACTCATGGGTGACTATTTCGCGTGTCAAACAATTGAGCTGGTATTACAATCACCTCATGATCTGATAAACATCAGGATGCATCATGATTCAAAACTGCAACGCATGATTCTATCATAATTGCATCAAGACTGAACTACATCTCACTGCACAACAGAAAGTCCCTACAAGCACAGAACAGCTTTGCTGTTTAACCCTCCTTCTGTGTTCAGGTCAATTTGACCAACATTTCTTGAAATGTTGTGACTTTATCCTGATGTAGTGTCATGAATGTACAACAGTTCAATGTGTTTTGGAAAGGCTGAGCACATTTTGGTGACTAAGACTAAGACCCACTGGTTTCCATGAAACTCGTCAAAACTCAACACCAAAACACTTTATAATAAGGTATTTAACATTAGTTAATGCATTAACTAACAATGAGAAAAACATGTTAAGAGTGTCTATTAATCTTTGATAACATTTGTTCATAAAAATAAGTTCACTGTCAGTTCTTATTTGTTCAGGTCCATTAAATAATATTAATAGATATAAAAAAAAACTTGACCCTCTAACACTAGCGTGCTCTATTCTTTTTCTATTCTATCTACTTGTTTTCTTTTTATTTATTATTAAAAAAAATAATAACTTGACCCTCTAACACTAGCGTTTTCTATTCTTTTTCTATGCTATCTTCTTGCTTTCTTTTTATTTATTATTAAAATAATAACTTGACCCTCTAACACTAGCGTGCTCTATTCTTTTTCTATTCAATCTACTTTTCAATATTTTTATTTGTTATAAAAAACCCTTGTTAAGTGTACTGCATTAGATTAACTGAGACTTGTCACAACACTTACACAGTATTGCTCGTTTGATGTTTGTTTGCTTCTATTGTCTTCATTTGTAAGTTGCTTTGGATAAAAGCTTCTACTAAATGATTAAATGTAAATTTTGATTTTTTTATAATATATTTGTAAATGCTGAAACTTACATCAACTGCTATTAAATATCTAATTAACTACAATTAAATATTAAATCATGCTTTATGCTAACTACTAACATAGTTGACTGATGTCAGCAAAGAAAAAAAACTTAATTGCTTTGCGACTGAAGAAAGAAAGAAAGAAAGACATGAACATCTTGGATGACATGGGGGTGAGTAATGACATCATTATAGTTTCAATGACATTATTTTCAATTGGAGATTAAGCACTTTTTGCCATTAATTGCAATACCGTATTGAAAATCCAGCTCATGTGTAATTAAAGGCAGCGCTGTGAAGCGTGTGAGGTCCGTGTGCTCACCTGTCTGTCGGTGAGTGTGTAGATGAACTGCAGGTCTGGGCTGAACAGTGTGTCCCGCAGCACCGGACTGCCCTCGCTCACCGGGACGCTCTCGTACAGCAGCGCCGCCCGGGACGGACTCACCGAATTAACCAGAATCTGACAAAACACAAGCCACAGCAAGACCATTAACATCTCATTAATATCCCATAATACCAGACCAAACGCTTTCATCATGTGAAAACACAGACATCATTACAGTAATGCTCTCAGAGCGTCAGCACAACAAACACTGCGAATATAATCATCTGTGTCTGCGAGCGGATGAGAGCGTTTCCATCCCTACATCGCACGAATACAAGAGGATTAGATACATTAGCCGCTCATTGAATCCTACAGTGAAGACAGATGCATTCATACAGGCTTACTGCTCCAGTCACACACAATCCACTTATAAACACACCTCGCTTCACATACTGTCTGACTGCAACTGATCTGAACGTCTTCACAAAGGTCAACGGAAATCACTGCTCTCCATGAAATGTCAAAGTATTTCCATTATTAATCATTATGATTCCTTCAAACTGCAAACTCTGTGCTAACGAACCAATTAGCACTCTTGACTTTTACAAGCAGAGACAGGAATGAAAGAACATTTAGCACAAAAAAAAACAAGAAATATAGACCACAAACTTTAGTTAAAGGGATCTTTAAAGGTGACATATCATGAAAATCTGACTTTTCCAGGTTTTAAGTGCTATAATCAGGTCCCCGGTGCATCTACCAACCAAGGAAACGTGAACAATATTAACCCAATCACTTTGTTTAGGCAAGCCTTTTTCTGCAAGCGTCTGAGAAAACGAGCGCGTCAGATTTCGCTCCCTTGGTGACGTGGCAAAGATCCCAAAGGGATCTCATTATAATATTACCACCGCATTAACTGACGGTGACGCGGTAATCGCTCTGCTGCGAACGCACGCTTCTGTGATATGAGGATAGAGTATCTGTAATGCACTGAGCTTTGTTAATATAGCAACATTTCATCTCAAACCACATAAAATCACTTACACACACACTGAGCATACATGAATGAGCAATACACACATCCAATTGAGTTTTATTGCCATTACAGAGCCAATGCAAGGAAGATATTAAAATAAGCCGCCTGGGATCATGCTGCAACACACCAGTGTTATTTTAGTGTCTTTGAGATTCTATAGTAGTTTTTAATTAATATTTTGAATCAGTTTTTATTTTTATATTTTCAATTTTCATTTTAGTAACAGTTTAGGGTTTGTTCTTTAAATATGTCTATGTAGTTTAATTGTTTTTATTTTTAATTTTTCCATCTTCATTTTAATTTTAGTAAATGTTTTTGAATTTTTTTTTCTGTAAATACGTCTATATAGTTTATTTGAATTAGATTTTTAACATTTTTCTATTTTCTATTTTAGTAAAAGTTTTAGTATTTTTGTTGTTTTTATTCTTTAAATACATCTATACAGTTTTAGTATTTTTGTTGTTTTTCTTTACGTACATCTATATAGTTTGTTTTTCTTTAAATACCTCTAAATAGTTTTTATTATTTTAGTAATACATGCTAATTATTAAATGTTTACTACAAGTTAAACTGAGAAATGCTACCTTGGCAACTACCTGAAATAAAATAAGTTTAAGGTTACTTAAGATTTGATTTTATTTCAGTTAAAGATTATTTTATTTCAAATAATGGAATTTTTTATTGTTTTTAATTTTAGTTAACTATAATAACTATGCAACACGCAACACAAGAAAATGACAATAACCTTGTTATTAAATACATACAATAAATACAATATAACTCAAACAATTCAAAATTATGATTTGATTAATAATTCAAGACTTCTTTAAAACCAAAAACATCAAGGCATCAAGTGCTGTTAGAAAATGTGCCGAAATATCTAAACAATATTTGTTTTTTCATCTGGAAGATCTAACCTTGATCGAGATAAGATGATTTCAAACTCTGCTGTGAGACATGTTTCATGTGTTTATATGCATAAGAGAGAATATCTGATGGTTTCCAGATGATGCTCACTTTCACAGACGTGACACTGACGGATCTGTGCTTACCAGGACTACAGGAAGTCAAATAAACACAAGACAGGAAGAGAAACACACCAGTATCTGCTCTAGACGTGAATTCATGAGAGCGCCACAGACTTCTTATGAACTAAAACCATAAAAAACTTTTTTTTCACTTCTTGAAATAGAATGAACATTAACTGAAATAAAATATTTAAAATAACCTTATAATTCAGGTAGTTGCAAAAGAAAACATTTCTCATTTTAATGTAAGTTAAAGTACTAAAATTATATTTTTTTAAAAATGATATTAAACTTAATAAGAACCTTATAGACATATACAAAATTAGGGGGGGGAATGTATGAAAAAAGGACAAACACAACTTAAATGAAAGCAGAAAATGAAATATAAAATATTAACAAAAACTATAACTGTATATCAATGATACTGAAATAACTGTTAGAGGCAAAGGTCAGTGTTTTTCCAGCTGGTGTCGTGCGTTTAGGCTCCTGACAGTCACACAGGTTATTGATTTTAGGGTTCAAACCACAAGTGCATGAGAAGAGGAGTTGCTTTTCTTCCAGATGCAGCTCTTTTGTGTCGGTCTGAACCGGGTGAGGATAACTACATCACCTATTTCAGATGAACGCTCTTCTAAACATCACATAGATCAGTGAACTGTGGGTCTGGCAGTCGGTTCTTAAATGAGCAACTCTTGGCTATAAAAACATGCAAAGTGCACCAGACTTGAGGCCTGAACTCATTTGGCGCTGGTGAACTAATGTGAGGTGTCTTGACTGCATCTGATGTTGGTGTGGTGATACTAATGGCTGTATTTGTGAGCACGGCTGTGATTTCTGAGCAGAGGCTGCTGATTTCACTCTCTTCACTCACACTGTGATGCTGCTGATGCTGTTTCATGTTTCACAGTGACTGCAGACATCACGCGATTCACTTTAAACATGCGCAGACTATATTTAACACACGTTCAGCAGCACACAAACTCTCATGAAATATTAATCAGACTAGAACAGAAACAAAAACACACGCAAAGCCAAACTATCTGTGAACGACTCATTTACACAGTCTAGTGCTGCTGCGTGATACACACACACACACACACACACAGTAAACAATGTAGAAATACTGTGGGGAATGCAGTAAACACACACACCCAGCACACACATATCAGACACCTACCAGAGACACAAATAACACAAACACAGGAAGAGTGAGTGTGTGTGTGTGTGTGTAGATGTAAGTGTGTGTGTGTGTGTGTAGATGTAAGTGTGTGTGTGTGTGTGTGTGTGTCTGTGCGTGTGTGTGTTTTTGTGAT